AGTATTTAATATAATTAATGTGTCTGTTGATTATGGCTTTTGGTGGCCTTTTTGGTTTTGTTTGCCCCTAGACACTGTCTCTGGATATCAATTTTCCATCAATTTTGAGGCTGAGGAACATTCAAATTCAATTAATAATGACTAGAACAAATTATGTGGTATCACTGGTGGAATCTAAGCAGAAATTATAGTTGAGAGACAGGGGCAAAGATTAAAATAAAATTAAAAATAAATTTACAAAACAATTTCCTTGTAATTAAATTATTTTTTATAGAAAAATCATCTGTTAGTGGCAGCAAAAATGTGTTAAAAGCATCTTTGAAACTTCCATAATTGAACCAGTCACTGAATACAATCATATAAATCAATCCACAAACCAATCCACTCACCACTCGACCACCTCCAAGATCCCACAAAAAAAAAAAAGCCAAATTCTGTCACAATTTTTCTTTTTTTTTTTTTGTGACAGTAAAATGAACACACAGTGGAGCCAAAAAAAAAGGGCAACATTCTGGTCATGACAGGATTCAGGACAAAGCCAGACAGTGGCGGGGGGGACGGTGGGGGGTTGGGACACTCTCATAATTGTTGTTGCAGAGCGTTTGTTGGCGGAAAAAAACAAAAGCCACGCAGCAAGTTCCAAGTTCATTCAAATGGTTTGTCGGCAATCAAAAAAAAAACAAACAAAAAAAAAGGGAAGAGGCAAGAATGTGTGGCACATGTGGCCCCAGGACACACTCATCCCAGAGCCAGGGAATGGGCCACCGCCACGGCCCAGAGTCAGACACTAATTCGATCTGATAATCATGGACTCTCCCGCCAAAGGGCATGAATTGTAATTTCCTCTTTCGCGGAATTAACTGTCGGTCCCCCTCCCCCTCCCCGTCCCCATCCCCGTCCACCGTCCCCGTCCCCCTCCCCGTCCCTCTTTCTGTTCCTCTTTTTGTCCCTGTCGCTTCGTCGGTTTGGCTTTGTTGTTGCCAATGATTTTTTTTAATATCCTTTTTTGTTTTGTTTTTCTCTTTGAGATGGTTTTGTTTTTTATATCATTGTTTTCTTGTATTTATGTGTCATATTTATTTACTTAAAACATTGCGCTTTTGTTTTTATTTCACTCCCTTTTTCACCAGTCTCCCATTCATATGCATTCGACTGCAGCGTTTTTTAATGATTTGTTTTTTTTTTTTTGTACCTAGTTTTCCTTTGATGTTTTGTGGTCTTAAGGAAAGTCCCTAATTTGAAAATAACACATTTGTTTGGGAGGCAAATATATTAATGAGACATTCTCTTTGTTATGTAAGCAGAAAAGAGTACTTTTGAAGTATGTTTTTTAAACATAAAACACTCAAACACTCGTTGCGCCAGAGAACAGCGAAGGCGAACAATTCGAAAAATATATCGATGAAAACACACATAAATCATTAAAACAAACGTTTCGAGATCCATACATCCCCAAAAATTAGTTGGATCCCCATAGGATTAGAAAAGACTCATGGGGATTTGAAATATTTTATATTTCCAGCACATTTCGGCAATATTCGAAACCCGCTTCCTGATTTATTTAGAGGAAACTCTAGTACAAAAATATGATAAATATACTGTAACAGTTTATATCAAGATAAAGAATATGTGGTATAAAATAAGTATAATATTATTAGATATTACATTTTTTAAAAAGGTGAATTTGCATTGAAGCACATGTGTTCTGATTACTTGTACAAATATATTGGATCGATATATGATTCTTAGTGTATTTTGATCAGTTGATTTAGTTGATTAAATTGTGCTCAGTGTATTATCTTCTGCAGGCTGTGGGTACTGGCCGTTATTCTTGCCATTTGCCTATTCTATTGCTTTACTCGTGAGAGGGAATCAGTTCAGAGAGAGACAGAGAGAGCGCATACTGAAAGAGATAGAGGGAGAAAAGAGTGGATGCAAATATTTGTGAGAGCCCAACATACTTATATTCATAAGATGGCAAATGTTCTATTTGATACAATTTTGTAGATACAAATTCAAAAGGGATTAATGACAGACAGCTCTATTGCCTCTGGAGCGGGTTCTTCTTCCACATTGATATGAGGCATAGAATATACTAGCTTGTTCCAGAAATTGGGGTCATCTCGCTTGAGATACGTGTTCAGCACCATGTAGGAGCGCAGTTCGCTGTCGAGATCATCAAAGTTCTCCACTTCGGGGTAGAGGACCACAATGAGGCGCTTGCATCGGTCCTGGGAGGTGGCATGCAGAGCGAGGCGGAACTCCAGTCGCCCCCAAGTCGACTTCAGGAAGTGGTTCGTCATCAGGATGATGACGCGCTTCGAGTCCTTCACAGATTGGCTGATGCACTCGGGAATGGGCAGGATAGAATTGCATATCGGCATGCGTACAGTCGATCGCAAAGTGATCTGTGTGCGGTTGAAGCCACAAAAGCTTCTATCGGGACATGGGGCATTCAAATGATGAAGAAAACAAAACAGTGCCTTGACTTCTACGAAAGATGTTCTGAAGAAACTCCCACATAAGATAGTCATCACAATTGAAGGTCCGTCGGTTGCCCGTCTGCTTGAAATCATCAATATTTGTAAGATACTTTATTACATCTTTATCGAGTGGTTGGATGGCATATCCACCGAGTTTTCATGGAAGGGAGCTCCATCTGGTGGGTATCGTTCCGCCTTTCGGTTTTAGTGTTCTATCTCTCTCTCTCTCACACACTCGTTCGTAGTGCAATGTGGTCGCCTTTTGGCGGAGAGGAGCCATACTGCCTGAGTATCGGGTATAAATGTAGAGTAGCGGCCGTAGCCCTCTTTTCTTTATCTTGGGCCTGTATATTGAACATTTTCCATTTATCCCAAAGACTTGTTCCACCGATTCCCAAGACAACACTCCAAAAAAATTTCATTTTGTTGCTGATAAAGATTGAGATCCATATATGTGCGATGTATGAAATGTACTCGCCTTCAAAACCTTTAGATTTTTTGCAAAATTGTCATCAAAACTGCACAAAAAAAAGCCGAAAAAAACGGCAAAACAAATGAGAACTTTGGCCCAAACGACAGGCACATATGCATAAAAATATACGTATATAAACGATATATGGTATATATATAAGAAGAGAAAGCCGTCTGAATGAACGGCAATTTTGCAAGCGGAGGGTAAAAATAAAATCAGCATTTTTAGTAGTTAATTTAATTTATTGCAGCATTTTTATGGTTGACTTTATTGCATAATAAAACATAATTTACGGCGCCATTGAGACTTTTTGCGTTTGCGTCGATGATTCTAAAGCGCAACCCATCGACCATATCCCCACAGAGAAAGAGAGAGAGAGAACTAGCAGAGAGATGGCCAGAGAGGCATCAACTTTGTGGATGCTGCAAATTTTGGGGCGAAACACAGAGAGCGAGAGAGGGGGGCTCACAGGGAGATGCGATTACGAGAGGTGATGCCAGGGAAAACGGCAGACAGATTGCGATTTCATTTCTTATGTTTTATTGTTGTTTTTTTTGTTTTGTGTGGGGAACACCCATTGCGGCAGACATCCGAGTATCGCCTACTGATTAAAGCTGGAATATTACGTGCATATATTTTACAATAAATATATGTATGCATAAGCGTATTTCGGCTGATAATAAAAATATGATTGGTGGCAATCGCTGTGGGAATTGCTGGAGAAATCCGCAATTGCTCGTATTTTATAAAAATAAAAAAACAGTAAGGCAAAGCAAAAAATATTCTAAAAAAAACGGCTGGACCGAGTTTTATGACATTTTTTGTTTTTGTATATTTAGTAGAGTTTTTTCACCTTGGTAGACAACGCCACATTCGAGTGCGTGCCAAATATTGAATATTCCGCTCATTCGAAAGTGATGAACGGTGCTGTGGACAAGGAGTGTGCCCATTGTCATGGGCTCAAGTTCAAAGATAGGTCAGAAGGTGTGTGTTGCGCATTAGAGAATTTAGATTTAAAGATTATAGCCGTTTATTTGCTCTGGAGGTTTAGAAATAAATATTAATATGACATCAATATAAATATATTCGCTTAATATATAATTCAAAATGTAAACAAATATATTTCATATGTTAATTAAATATTTTCATATTTAGATAAAATAAATTTGTTAAAAATTAAAAATATTTTATGTATTTTAAAATGTTTTATATTTAGATTAAATATGGGTCGTGCTAAAAATTTTTTAAAAAAACATTATTTATTATTATTAATATTTATTTATTATTTTTAGCTTTTATTTACTTTTTTATTATTTATTTTTTTATATTTTTGATTATTTATTATTTTTAAATCAAAGTTTAATTTTACTAAGCTTGCATTTAAAACCTTATATTTTAGTTAAATATGTGAATGTTTTTTTTTTACTATGCCAGGAAGCTAATTTTTACCCTATATTTTGTTCTCCAATTCTATCGAAGAATATAATTTATATACAAAAATAAATCTCGGGAAAAATTTTTATACCAATTTTATTTAAAAGCCAAATAAATTAAAATGAATTTAAAAGATAAAAATATAGAATTTAAAAATGGCGTGTATATCATAATAAAATAGGAGAATTTTAGCCAAAATATAATATATTCCTATGCCTTAATTGTTGTTCAACTTCTTTCAATTTTTTTTGCACTTCTGTTCCCAATCTTTCCCTACATTTTGCACTCTGTGACCTCATAAAAGCTTCAAGAGAAATATGTACGTGTATATGCAAAACTAAAATACTCGTATCGGATGTGTTTCATGCACCGCAAAACATAACTTGTGGTCTGGCCATTCGATTTAATTGCCAATTAAGAGAACAGAAAAGTGATTGGAGCATTACGGCGTCGTCCTACCGCAACATAACCGACTTTCCCGCCCGCTGAGCAGGACACAAACATTCCATCAGCCAGTCATTGACATATATCAGTGTATTGAATCGTTCAACTATAAAAGCAGCCCCGGATCCGTAGAAGCCAAACAGTTGGGAGTTGCTTGTTGGTACAGAATGCAGGTCCAGGAATTGCTTTTCATTGCCGCGGTCCTGATGCCCCAATGCCTGAGGGCCTTGCGCTACAACCACCAGGGCACCGGCGACGAGAACTGCGAGACATTAAAGTCGGAGATCCATTTGATCAAGGAGGAGTTTGACGAACTGGGACGCATGCAGAGGACCTGCAATGCCGATGTGATAGTCAACAAATGCGAGGGACTGTGCAACAGTCAGGTGCAACCATCGGTGATAACACCGACGGGGTTTCTGAAAGTGAGTAACCAATAACAAAAATCTGGCCAGATCTATACCCTACTCGTATACCCCCTTAACCCCCGTTAGGAGTGCTATTGCTGTCGCGAGAGTTTCCTCAAGGAAAAGGTCATCACGCTCACCCACTGCTATGATCCGGATGGCACTCGTCTAACCTCCCAGGAAATGGGCACCATGGACATACGTCTCCGAGAGCCCACCGAATGCAAATGCTTCAAGTGTGGCGATTTTACGCGTTGATAAATGTCCCTAAATCTAATCGAATATTTATACATATATTTCTAAACATTTCATAGTGAATGTAAATCGAATGTATACAACACACGGCTAGAATTGGTTTTTTATGGTTTTATGGTTTTTGGTTGTGCCCCAAAGGCCCCAAACAGATGTTTGATCCGGCTCTCTCTCTCGGTGGGGCGGAGGGGGTGTTTCACATGTGACTGGAGGGCTGGCAGCTATTCTCTATCAAGTGTCGATGCACTTTTGGATGGACTCTGATTGACTCATTTCGAAGCCACCCGGAAACTCTCTCTCTCTCTCTCTAGCTCGTCTTGAAAACATTATAATCAAGCTTAAACTGCAGTTGAGATGAAAACACGCTTTCAACGTTTTTCAGTCTTGATTAAAAGGCAAGGCAAGGCCTGTCCCCGGAAAACCCGCTTTCTGTGTTCTCGGGGGCTAAATTATAATTTCATGTTCACAAGCACATTTGCACGCACTGTAATTTACTTAAGCATTTTGCCAGCTCCACTCCACCCAAAAAAAAAACAAAATAAAAACACGGTACGAGAGTAGGATCTCTCCAGGTCGATGCTGCTGCTGCTGCTGTTCCCGTGTGTGTGCGAAACTCATAATTTATTTGACACGCCCATTAACAACTGGCAGGCAGGCAGGCGAGGCAGGGACGTTTGGGTGGCATCAGTTGCTCCATCAACGGCAACAGCACAACGTGCCGACACAATATAAATTATATACTTAAAAGAAATATACACCAACAGAGGGAGAGATTCTCCAGTTCTAGAACGGATCACTGGAAGACTAAAAAAAAAACCTTTTAATCAAAAATTATATAGTTTTTGTATGGGGCAACCGCTGCAGCTGTTGAATGAGTTATTCAAGGGCACTTCTTGAGCATCTTAATAGAAGAACTAGTAGTAGATCTGTGGTCCCTTCTTTAGAGATGCCTTATAGCATTAGTCTCAAGCCATGATCGTAATAAACACCACATAAATTTCAATCAAAACGACTGGCCAAACCCCAAAAAACACACAAAGAGATAGAGGTAGAGAGAGATACTTTTCAGAAGATAAAGCCCAATCAATGATGTCACGCCTTCTTGTCTTTTTTTTTTGTTTTTTGTGGCCAGCTCTTGACACTAAAAGCATTTTTCCAACCGTTGTTTACATTTCGCCTTGGGCTTTGGGGGCTTTTATTCAACAACAAAACACAAACATATTTCACTCGAATGACAAACATATCAAATTAATTGCAAATTCATGCAAATCAAGCAACGTATATCGAAAATATCGAAAACCAGAAACAAAGAGTCCCCAAAATGATGAAAATTAATTGCCAATATTAACGCGTTTTAACACAAAAAGTATGTTAGAAAATAAACATAAATAAAGTAGCTTTCGATTAAATGTTGATAATATTTTTGCTCTGGTGAGGTTTCAAATTTGTTATTAATTAACAAACATTAATTATCATCAAAGTGGAGAGGTTCGCCTCGGTCTGGGGCTTTTGTTTTAATTTATAACTAATTAATATTCAGCAAATTTAGAGACCAATTGAAATTTATGAGTGTATTTAAAAATATGTTCTTAGGACAGACGGCCGATAGGCAGAGAGCAAAGATTCAAGTTGAAGATACTATATCTATCCCTTTCGGTGCCAGTAAAAATCTTGAGAAATTAAATATTTTCTCACACAAAAACTGAATTTCTTTAGATAATTTTTCCTAGCTTTGTGACTTTTATAAGATTTTAAAATTACTCCTCTTTTGGGGTGCTAAAGAATAAATATATATTTCGTAGGATAAAAATCTTCTACTTCTATGCCTTGCCCGTTCTTAGAGTATTTTTTTGGGAAGCTTCCGCACAATGCCTGCTCGTATATCATATTTCAGTTAGAAGATGAAAAATTCAGAATGCTGAGTGCCAGAGGGGAGGTTGGAGAGGTGCGAGAGAGGGTTCACCTGTCAGTGGAGTAAAAGCGCAGCGAAGCGCAAAGCGTTTTTGCATTTTGCATTAAATTTATGATTTTTACAGCTGACATTTGTTTTGGGGCGTCTGCAGCCAGGCAGCCAGGCAGCATGTGCAACATGCAGAACATATAACAACAACCATCATGACAGCAACATATTTTTTAGACGCAACTGCAACTGCAGCAGCAACAGCAACAGCAGCAGCATCAGGAGGAGCAGCTGTCATAAGATAAAAATTTGCCCGCGCCTGCATCATGCATATATGCAACTGCCACCCATTGGTGCAGCAGCAACAGCAGCGGCCAGAGGGGAAGCCGAAGCGACAGCAACATGCAACATATTCTAATGCGCTGCGACATCAAGTGACAGCAACGGCGACAGTTGCTGTTGCCGCATGAGAGGCGGCGACAGGCGACAGCACCCAAAGATGAAGAGTGCTGCCACAGCCACGGCGGCGGCAGCAGCATGGAAAGCGAGCCTGCCTTTTCTTGGGCATGCAAATGAACTGCAATTATGATAAACGTCAGCAGTTGACCGGAAATGAGCAACTAAAACGAAGACCCAGAACGGAGCCTCTTAAATCACAATTAAGTTAATGAATAATGCCAGGGGACTGCAAAACGGTGAGAAGAGTGTAGGAAGTGCCCCGATATGATCTCGTGCTTAATAAATTAGTTACTTAACGGGTGAGAGAAACGGTTAGGAAATAGTTCAGATACGCAGGGGTACGGCATCCCGTTTGTTGCACGTTCTATTCCGGTTCTTCTACGAGAGACTGAGAAATATTGCCAGAAGGTAGATACTTTTTCAATCCATTTGTAAACTATACATTTTATTTTCCTTCCTCTAATGCTCCTTTTTCGCAATTTCAAACCTTTGCACGGAATGATCTCTTGGTATGATCCAGCAAGCAGTTTTTCAACTAAAAACCTGAAGCTTTGGTTTCTTTTTTGCTAAAACCTGAACATTTGGTTCGTTTTCCTTTGAAATTATCGTGCAAGCAGTGCACTGTTGAAACCTGAAGGCATGGCAAGTTTTCTCTTATAAGCAGTGCAGTTTTTAAACCTCAAGGTTTGGTTCGCTTTCATGCAAGCAGCTCTTCAACTTAGACAATGCGTTAGTTCCTTCCAAACGATCAAGCAGTAAACTGCTGAAACCAAAAGCTGTGTTTTTTGACACTTGGCTTGGATCAAAGAGATCAAGCAGATCAATTGATTAAATTACCCGAGGGTAAGCAGTGCCCCGCAAGTTGTATTCGTGTTTCTGCAAGCAGTACCCCTTTTGAAACCTGACGGTTTGGTTCGCTTTCATGCAAGCAGTTCTTCAACTAAAACAATGCTTTGGTTTATTTTTTTCTCTCCTCAATCAATCGATCAAGCAGTGAACTGAAGAAACCTGACGCTTTTTTTCCCCTTGGCAAACAATTGAACAAGCAGTGGTCCTCTGAAACCTTAATTATTTATTAAATTACCCTTGTAAGCAGTGCCCTGCAAGTTTTTTTCTCTTTCCTGCAAGCAGTGCATTGCTACAACCGGCAACTTTGCTTCGCTTTTGCTAAAACAAACACAAAACTGGAACGACTCTGCTTAAAGGTTATACCTCCTGCCACAGAAATGAGTCTAAAGCCTCTTTTGCCAGGCTATCATCCATTTTCAGCACAGTCCAAGAGGCTTCCTCACAGAGAGAGAGAGATGAAAGGCGAAAGCTTATATTCCATGGAATAAAGTATATTAAAAAGTAAAATGAAATTGATGCTAACATATGTTGCCTGCTGGCCTATGGCTTTTAGTATATTTTCTCATTTCTTTGCGCACATGGAGGGGGCGACACACTGCTTCTGCACATTACTCATACGCCCCAGTGGGCAAATTTATGAACTTGCCAGCGCACTTGAGGCGGCCCCCGACCAGCAGCAGAAAGCGCAAAAAAAAAGGCCAACGCACACACGACAAACAATCTCAAACACACAGAGCCCTGTACAGTGTACACCCACTAACAATAAGTGCGTTTGTATGTCTTCCAGTGCGGCAGTCAAGGAGTAAAAGTAAAGCAGCTTGTAAAAAATAAAATATGCCAAGGGTTAAAAAGTGTGCAGCATATAATTCATACTCGCACACACACGGTTACGTACACACACTCGTGACAGGGCCCCAACATGGCCAAGGGTTAAGCAGACCAAAAAAAGAGTAAGAGACAGGGCAGGGGTACACTGAATGAGAGAGAGAGAGAGAGCGAGAGAGAGGGAAAGTGCTTGGCAGTCTTTTCTGCAATAAGTAGATGAAAACCGGGAAATGCAGCAGCTGCTGTGCGAGACGCCACACTTGGAGAAATCTTCAATAGAAATTGGGAAAAAGGTATGACAAAGGTATGCAAAATTCTGCTAAAATTTATCAGGTAATTCGTAGACATTTAAATATCTTGAATATTTAACATCCTGGATTCCTTTTTTTCCCTTTTTCCTAAAATCTCAAAGTTTTGGTTCGTTTTCCCTTGAAATTTCCCTGTGAACCTACATTTGTGGTGGCGAAATCTCCCAGCAAGCAGTTCTTCAACTCAACCTGAAGCTTTGGTTCTTTTTCTCTTTAAAAGTGTGCCTTTTTTAGTCCTCTACAAGCAAACGATCAAGCAGTTCGCAGTTGATACCTGAAGCTTTGGTACCTTTTTCTCCTTCACAACCAAACGATCAAGCAGCGCGCTGATGAAGCCTGAATCTGCGGTTCGTTTCCCATTGCAAGCAGTTCATTGGCTAAACCTGAAGCTCTGGCTAATTGTTCTCCTCCACAACCAATAGATCAAGCAGTACCTGAAGGGTTTTTTCCATATTACCTCCACAACCAAATGATCAAGCAGTGCGAAGTTTAAGCCTGAAGGTTTTGTTCCTTTTTTCTCCTCCACAACCAAACGATCAAGCAGTCTGCTACCGATACCTGAAGCTCTGGTTCGTTTCCCTTTGCAAGCAGTTCATTGGCTAAACCTGAAGCTCTGGCTAGTTTTTCTCCTCCACAACCAAGAGATCAAGCAGTGCGAAGTTTGA